GGTTTTTCAGCACAGGCACCAGTGCTGCAAAAGCTCGGGTCTAAAGCTAACTGAAGTCAACTAAAGCTTAAAGTAACTTTAAGCAGCAGCAGTGTTACAACTCTATTCCTAGTTTTTGCATGGTTCCAAGGTGGGAGGGGACTCTCCTCCCCACCCTTCGTTGCTCTCCTCAGAAGCCCCACTCACTCTCCCTCTCCCAGCAGCCCGTCCTCGATCCGCCCATGCCAGTTTCAATTACATGCACGTTATTGGACTAAAGCCCCTGCTCAGACAATCGTTCCCTTTTGCAGTGGTACCAATCACTATTACAAAGCGTCTCTAGTCTATCATGCTACTTGTTTCCGTTGTTTACTTGTATGTTTGCTTACCTATCGGCTGTGTACACACTCCAAAGCATCATGATCATCGAAATTTTCTGACAATGTGAGAAAGCGAGAAATAGTTAAGCACACGAGAGGGGAAAGGACCTGTTTTTTTGGGCTGAGGAATGATGTCATCGCCAAATGCATGATCTAGCCACTGGAACACATCATTGTGTACATAGTATTTCTTCGGAGTCTGAGGGCACAGCACAAATGTTTGAAGAAAACGTCTCCCGGGAGCATCACGTATTGACAGTTCACCACAGACCTGTAATATTTACTTTAACAGTTTTTAAAGGTACAACATCCAATGTAGGCCTGCATACAGGCACAGTTTTCGAACTCCAAAAAAAACATGCCTGAATTACCAGCCCATTGCTCAATGTTGTTGTGCCGGTGACCGTATAGATTCGTGCTTTACAATCCACAAACGCCAAACGTTCGATTGCTTTTTGTATTTTCTAAAAAAAGCAACACTATGCACAAAATGTAGAGAATACCAGCTGTGTGTAATGTGCTTCTACGTAATTATGCAGAATTCGCGTGAATGCCCTGTTTGAAACTCAAGTCGTTGCTTAGAATTCGATAGCAAAAAAAAAATTCTCTGTGGCCAAATGTTTCGTTCCAGTGATAAACTGCTTTTGGCATTTTGCATGATATTTCAAAAAATCATCCTTTTCCAGCTTAACTCCCTTGCAATCCTGTAAAATCATCAATAAGCCCACCAGCAAAACGCCAATGCTTGCATAGTGCTATCACTCAGTCTACTTCCGCCTGTCTCTATATCTCTAAAAATTTGAAAAGAGCAACATGTCCCGAACAGATTTTGAATTAAACTCATAGTATTTGTGCAAGCAAGTAACAAACCTGTGGTCCTTGTACAGGTGGCTCGGTACCATGGGCAAAAAAAGACTCATGGCTGTAAAAGCGGTAGACATCCTGAGGTTTCTCAGCAAGCATTGTATAGTACTGGCGAACAAATTCGCGTCCAATTTCTATAAAAAAGAAAAAATACGGAGATAATCCTGCAGAGTTTGAAGTAAAACCCAGGCTGGAACGCACCAGGCGGGCCGGTGCGATTATGCGTTTTTGCACTTCTCGT